AGAGAGAGAGAGAGAGAGAGAGAGAGAGAGAGAGAGAGAGAGAGGGAGGGAGGGAGGTAGAAAGAGAACGGTATAGCGATTTTATTTTTTACCGTTAACGTACGACGAAGGAAATGACGGGCCGCCTTGCCCGATCGTGACCGGCCACGCCGTAAACCCCGCGGAATCGAATTAACGTCTCGACATTTCCGATTGATTTCTGTGACGCGACGAATACTCGATCCACCGGAAATCATTCGCCGCGCCAATCCGTGAAAGGAAGGCAGGATGGCGGGGGTGAAGGAAAGGGTACGCGGCGCAGGCAGAGGCGGAGAGCTTTTAACGCCCCGAAACCCCATTAAGATAGCAAGAGTCACTTCTGGGTCGGCATCTCCACGACCTTTTCACCATAACGGCCGCCACGTATATACGTATACATACATATGTTCCGACAGCGTTACGCATACTCTTGGATCTATCTGTATTTGCATTGGAGCCAACGAATCCAAAAGTACTACCTTCGCTATCAGCAATCTCTCTCACGGGAAACCAAATATATCATAGTGATCATTTTTCTTTTCATAACAGTCAATCTGAGTCAGGGGGAGATTTAGAGTGTTTAAGAGTCGTCAGACGATTTTAAGCGAAATAATCAAAAGTGGAGAATAATAATTGTTGCAACGCATATGTTGTTGCTTCAGTACTTACATGCTGCACTAATCCAGTACACGAAGAGAATTATATAGCAAAAATTACTATAGAATTTTGTAACCGAAGAATAGATTGACAGTAATGTCAAGTCCTGCAAGTGCTGCAGTAATTGACTCTCTATTCTTTCATTTCATACGTATACTACTTATATTTTACTTTAATTCTGAGATGTGTTATTAAACAATTTACTATAGTTTCAATGAGATTTGCTATATTTCTAACAAAATTTCCCTTAGACTTTTCTGTACTATTGGAAACATGGTAAAATTGAAACAAATTTACATAAAAAAATTGAAATGTTTTCTCTATGCGGTCAACTGTTCCTCATCAAACATAATCCTAATTTATGAAGTTAATTTTAATAGTGTAAAAATTAGTTACTGATTAAACAAATTTATAAAAAATTTTTCTTAGAAAAAATTAAATTAATTTAGGTAGTCCAAAAATTAGTTAGCGATTTAAAAATGTATGACTATTTATTACTATTTATTACAAAAAACTATTAAGTCATTTTCGGTGACCCAAAAGTTAATTATCAATTTTAAAAATTCATAACTTTTCTTTACAAAAAATTGTTAAGTTAATCTGGATAACCCAAAAGTTGGTTACTGAAAAATTTAGAATACTATTTTTTACAAATAATACATTTAAAATTCTTTTTGCAGATTGTACTAAAACTTTAGGAAATTTGAAATTAACCGACTTTTAGACTACCTTATATTATATTCTCTTCATCCAACTTTTTTTATACAAATTAGTGAATTTTTTTGTTACTAATAATGCTGCAAAAATATTCCTACTTGCCGGGTTCTCTTCTCATTTAGATGTGTTTAAATATGATTGAAATCATATATCTAATGCCTTCTCTCCCTATGGCTACTTAAACAAACAAGTATGTCTTGGACACACTACATATAACATCCAAAAAAAGTATTCTACGTACAAAATTAATTTTCCTCTAATCCTATATTCTAAAAGAAAATTGTTACAGAAAGCATATTTCTCTTTCATTAAAGTGAACCACTCATAGTGTATAACCACTCTCGTGTTGCGAGATATAATTCTAATTGTGTTCCTCTTACATCAAGAGGAATATGTTAATTTGAAGCAAAATACCCTCTTACGTGCAATACGAGAGACGCGAAGAACTGTTGTTTCGCTGCGTACTGTCGTGTACGATTTGTTGAAACCAAGCGCCACGCTGCACATGCGCGGAAAGATAGGCGCAGCACGAAGTAACAAGAGTGTAAAGCGTTGTCTACAATATTCGGAGTAAGCTTGGAGTGATAAGTAAGCCGTAAGAATTGGCCAATCGTAGTCGATTATTATAAAAATAATCGTCTATGATTGGTTAATTTTTACGGCTTACTTCTTACTCCAAGCTTACTCCGCATATTGTAAACGACGCTTAAAAGGGCATCTACATTGGAAGTAAGTAATAACAATTAGGAAGCAAGAGTATAAGCAGTGCTGCAAAAAAAGTGCCCGTGCACGCTGCTGTGAAGTTCACACCGATAGACGGAGCAGCGTTGTGTGCGTTAGGAGAAGTATTGAGGGGACACTTCTCCTCGCACGTTGCCGCGTACACGTTCCTGCAATACTGTAGCAAACAGCTTGTATTTCCCGCGATATCATCGTGATATTGGTGACTCTTATCGCCGAGAGTCACCAATATCACGATGAGTGATGTAAAAACCTTTCTGGAGAATATCAATTTAGGAAAATAGTAGGAAGTAAGAGTAAGAAATTGATCAACCACAGTCGAACGTGAGAAGAATAATCAACTATGATTGGCCAATTACTTATTCTTATTTCCTACTTCTTACTGCTTACTTCTAATGTAGACGCCCCTTAAAAGGGATTATTCTTCTCACATTCGACTGTGGTTGGTCAATTTCTTACTCTTACTTCCTACTTCTTACTACTTACTTCCAATCTAGACGTCCCTTTAACAGACTTCTATATACTACCTAAGCTGACTCTCGACGAAAGGTGTTGTAAGCAGTGCTGCAGAAAAGTGCTCGTGCACGCCGCTGTGAGGTTCACACCGATAGACGGAACAGCAGCGTTAGTGCGTTAGGAGAAGGCGCATTGAGGGGACACTTCTCCTCGCACGTCGCACGAGCACGTTCTTGCAGTACTGTAGCAAACAGCTTGTATTTCCCTCCACCGACTCTTATCGCCGAGAGTTATCAATATCACGATGAGTGATGTAAAAACCTTCCTGGAGAACATCAATTTAGGAAAATACTGGCCTATATTTAAGGGTAAGTACAATTATCCTTTTTTCATATTTGTACTACGTATATTATTAGTGGTTCATGGTATATTACTGTGTCCAAAAAGTAAGACCAATTTAAATTTTTTTTTTAAATCTTTATTTATTATTTCAAATCTATTTCGTCGCCTTCAAAGTAATCCTCCTCAGACACAATACACTTATGCCAACGTTTTTTCCAATCCTACGGTTGGAAACCGTATTACGTGATGCATATAAACCCACACTGCAGTGATAGATAAAAACCCACCATCTCACACATTGATTCTTCGAGATCATTTCGTTAAAAATTCGACCCATATCGTTCCACAATCACCATATTCACCTGATTTAGCACCGTGTGACTTCTGGCTATTCCCTAAACTCAAAAGACCGCTCCGGGGACACCGTTTTGACTCGATTGAAGAGATACAAGCAAAATCGAAGAAAGCTTTGAAGGCCATTCCGGAAATCGACTTTAACAACTGTTTCGAGGGTTGGAAAAAACGTTGGCATAAGTGTATTGTGTCTGAGGGGGATTACTTTAAAGGCGACGAAATAGATTTGGGATAATAAATAAAGATTTAAAAAAAAAATTTTTAATTGATCTTACTTTTTGGGCACAGTAGTATATGTCGTACGTAACCTATGAACCTATGAACACGAAGCATTATTTACCCAGATAGCCAAACCTGCGCGAGCAGATCTTACGCAGAGTCTGTCAACAGTGTCTGTAGACAGAATGGCAACAGATTGTACGCAGAATCTGTTCTGACGACAGATTGATGACAGACTGCGCGCAGAGCCTGTCGACAGACTGACGGCAGATTGCGCGCAAATGTTTCCTAAATAGGCTATTTAATTCTATCAAAGACCATATGTACGTTATTAAATGGGACAGTTTCATATACACATCATGTAAAAAACTAAGATTTTTCTTCCTTAAACTTTAAGTGGACAATACAAAGCACTTTTTAAGTGAGGAATTGGCGTAGAGTCTAAGGCGACGGACGATTATCCAAAAGATGTTTTCGGTTCAAGCTTGAGTCTTACCAGAGAAATTTTTAAAAATTATGAAAAAATAATATAGAAAAACCTTTTTTTCATTGTATTTTACAAGTATTTATGAGAAAGCGCTTATTCTATGAATAATTATGAAAAATTATAAGAAAATTTTCTACCATAAATTTAATTGAAGAACCTACGAAACGACAGGCTCTGCGCGTAATCTGCCGCCAGTTTGTCGTCAGAGTCTGTTCGCAGACCCTGTCAACAGTCTGACGACAGATTGGGGACGCAGATGTCTATGGATCTGTCGACAGATCCTGCTCGAATTCCACAGATCCTGTCGCCAGTCTGACGTCAGTCTGCGCGCAGATTGCTTACTGGGTACATTCCTAACGAGAAATGATTCGTAGATCGACACCAAAACAACATCGACATTGTGAAATCTACATCGTTTCGACGTCGATCAACGAAACATTTCTCGCTAGGAATGTAAGTAATGCTCTATGGGTTACGTATTATGCAGCACATATGTCATGAATCGTCGAAAAATGATTTGTTGATTTACATCGAGACGTCGACACCGTGAATCGCTGGGTTAGTCTTGAGTAAATAACTGTAACACTTATTATATAACTGATGTTTGATGTTTACTAGGTTAAGTATATTTTAATATATTCCCATATATACAGCATAGAAGCTCATAGCAACATTGCAGTTACAATATTTATACAATATTGCATAAATGTTGTAACGTTGCTGCAATGTAGCTGCAAACTTACGTGCTGTATAGGATGAAATAAAAACAATATTATAATAATACAATATGTATTGTAGGAAATATGTCATGTGTATTTGACAAAGAGACATTAGTATGATTGTGTCGCTGTCAAGATTATGTGAAGATTAGCAATGCTCTTACGAGCGTTACCAGATATAGTGTCTCAATTCTATTGCATGATTTAACCTATAATATTTTCGGAATACTTGCTTTGATTGTGTTTTTACTGACATTAATTGGTTGCTAATAATAATAATTACTCAGACAACACAATGTCCAAATTTAGAACATTAGATGTCTTTCACACGTTTTAAAGATGCCTTAAAAGTGTCTTATTACTCGATATCTTAAAGACTAAAAGACATGTGATGTGTGTTTTGTGTGATGAGTGTAGACATTGCGCTGTCTATTTGCTTTTGCATATGCTTTATCTGGAATAGTGTAAATTGAGAAGGTTGTGTGCGTGCGTGCGTGTGTATGTGTGCTATTTTTATTATAAGAACCAGGACCTTTTATTACTTTGAGCTTTATTTTTACACATTTTCTAAATTGTATCACCTCACTTGTTTTTCATTTAATATGTATTTTACTCTCACTATTGACAGTACTAATTTTATTTTTATTTGCTCGTACATCAAATTGTGACAATGATCAATATTAGTGCTTTTTTCTTTACATTGTAAATAGAATAATTTTTTATATTATATTATTAATATAATAACATTAATATTATAATATATTAATAATTATAATATATTAATATAAATTAATATTATAATATTATTTAGATTATGGCTATATTTCATTGTTTTCATACAAATTGAACAAACTTTGGATTGTTTAATGTTTTCTTCTTTTTTCGATAGAGAATGCAATAACCACCTTTGACAGATTATTTCTTGTCACTCCTAACCTAGCAAGAGAGTTAATCCAACCTGTTGGCGACCGAATTGTGTTTTTGGAATATATAAGTACACAAAATAAAGTATCTTTATATACTGAAGAAATACAAGTAGCAGAAGTACGTTTAAACTTTGTAAACTATTTAAATTAATTGTTACAATGAAAATTGAATTTGTTTTGGTATTACAAGAGAAAGTATTTCATTTTCGTTAGTACTATTGCCTTTTTTATCTTTTCAGATTAATATTAAAAAAGAAATAACAAGAAATGACAAAGATAATATTACTTTCTCCATATTACAAGAAAGTGATATTATTGTAAATCCAACCTCTTTAACAACAAATAATAATGTAAAATCAATGCTGAACGAAGTAAGTATAGTGTTCATATAGCTTATATATATATTATTAAGTTATGCCAGATAGAAATATTAAAACATGTTATTTCTTTCGTTATGTAGACAAAAACATATGATTTCAATATTAAATTATCGGGTTCTGCTTTAAATTCTCAAAGCATATCTGACTCAGACGTGCAAGAGAGCATTGCACCCAAAAAACGTCATACTGATACCGATCATATTCAGGATTCCGAAAACGAGAATCCTACACCCAAAAAATTTTGTCGCTGGGAAACTAAACAGCAATATGAAAATGTGGTAAGTTTATTTTTTTTGACATTGTTTACTTTTTTGCACTGTGTTAATAACTTGTTATCTTTTATAGAATTTGAAGAAGATTTTGCAGGAACACATCAAGGATGAGGCAGTACTGTTTTATTATAAACAACATGGTCTTCTAAATGGAAAAGCAAGAGGAATTCTCTTAGATATTGTCGCTAATCATATGCTTAAAATAAGCATAAGGTACATATTCTAAATCTGTGTAACTATTAACCTGACTATTGTGGACTCTTACGACGATATCTCCCGTCAGGCGCTTCGAATGAGAATACTCGTGCAACGATACTCCCGCCAGACGTTTTGGATGAGATAATTCGTTCAAAATATCGTTGCACAAGAACTCTGATCCAAAGCGCCTCATGGGCGATATCGTCACGCGAGTATTTTCAACGTCAGTCAACGGGTTATTATTCTAATTTACTACAAAACTCTATATTATTAAGCTTATTTAATCCAGGCCTTCACGTGATGCTTTTGCACTTGTTAGCCGTAAAATCTGTCAGTTGTTCCCTACTGAGACTGAGGTAATAAAGTTTTCTTATAATATATCAAAACATCTTGTTAAAATTATTAATTGCTTTATATTATATGTTACCTTTAAATTTTGTTGTACAATTTTTACTTTATTCTGTAGGACACCTATTACTTTAAGCCATACACAAATGGCCCATATCAAAAAAATGCTGCTGGGAAACTTGTTGATAAAGTACGTAACACAAAGACATTACTGAGAAAGTTAAGCGATACACACTTCGTGTGTCACTCCGTGAAGCGGGATAATCAAAACGATTCTGAAGACAGTGAAGATGAACCTTCTTCCGAAGGTAAAGTAATTAACAAAGATTCAGTTTATATGTCATATACAATAAACTGCTGTTTATCTGTCATATAGAAATTTACTGAATGTTTAGTCTTATATATATTTAAGCAGATAATGAAAATGTCGAAATAGCAATCCGGTGGTTAAAAATTAGCCGTGAACCGTGGCCAGAAGTTATGAAACATTGGGAGATTACGTATGATTTTCGGCAAAGAACGCTACTGAAAAAGAGTAGCGTCAAAGACGCACCGTTCCCAATTTGTGATTATTACAACGAGTGGGAAATTTTATCACTTCCTCAGGGTTACACTTTGGTATCTACATTTTTCATTTCTGCATTATTTGTCTTCAGGAATTCAGTATTGATATATGTTCGTTCTTCTTTCATATTAAATTTTCATTATTATAATTTACTTTTTTTCCAGTTGCTTTATTAATTGTTATATACTTGTAATATTAAAAGTTATTTCGTTTTTATGATACAGAACAATGATTTCTCTAACATTTTTCTAGCAGAGCGCGCATATATCAGTAAATTTATAATAAATTATATTTTCAAGTATTCTTGAGACATATAGTTCCTCAAGGTTGCTAATTGAAATATCATCTGTTTCGTTGTGCAACTGGAACTTGACTTTCGTAAAAAATACTCAGAAAAAGATTCTACATTTCTATTTGCTTGGGAAAAGTTTATGTCCGTTTTGAGAGAATTGATGAAAGCAGAAATTAAAGATATATATGGAAAAAAGTTATTAAAGAAATTAAATAATCAAAAGCTATTTTCAGGTTTGTAAGAGAACATTTCTGTGCCTTTTCTTTTGCATTTCCTTCTTTTGTATTTTTATATTTCTTTATTTTATTATTTTTAAAAACAGGAATTTACATGTTTTTATTTGTATTAGAATCAGCTTATATTTTCTTTGACGTTATATCTATTGCCTTATATGATTCCACCTAAAGACCAAATAAAATGTGACTCAGGGGAAAAGCTGAAGGCAAATATTTCAGAAGCTTGGAATGCGTTTATGCTTCATGCAAATGTAAATAAGATCATTTATCTTTATCAATATACTGTCTATAGAGTTTTCATTATATTATATATATTATTGTTGATTCTGTCAATGTATACGTTTTGTATCCCCTAAAAATCGTTCTTACTACTGCCATTAACATTACGACGTATATCGCGTTGTTAATTGTTGTATAAATTGCCTATATATTTATTTTAATATGCAGGTGCCTGGAGATCTAATACCTGCTATAGATAGGAGACAGAAAGTAGCCAAAAAACTAAAGAAAAGAGTGCAACCTTTTGTTGCTATCGTTGGACCCTCCGTAAAGGAATTTACTTCCTGTTATGTTGTCATAGACAATATCAAATACAAATTTGATAGCATCGTGAAGGCTTTTGACGTATGTTTTAAAGCTATTCATTCTCTTAATACTGAATATTCATATGAGGCGAAAGAAGCCTGGCTTTTTGTGCAGCAAGCGTTATATGGAATATATACTTCCTATGATAAAAAAAATTCTGCAGTAGCTGCACTCGTAAAATCTTTTCAAGTTCTATATAATATTTCTAAAAGTAGTCCAAACTTGTTTGAAGTATTATAATCTTGATTGTTAAAAACTCTATAAATGAAACTACTTATTTGCGTCGTACACATAAATACTGCATATAAATATTGAAAGAGAGAAAAATACTAAGATATACATCAAAACTAAGATTGTTATGCTGTATATCTTATTATATCTTATATGATGGACATTTTGTTACATGTTATATTTTATCTTATTGCGTATTGTATCTTATTGTATAATGCATATATGAATTATAGAATATATGTTCAAGCTTGATAATATCTTTTTAGCTTGTTTGTTTTTATCTGATGCTAAGATTCATGGAAAACTTATTTCAGCCAATAATTCAAGATTTGATTAATTTAATAATCCGAAACACACATTTCGCCTCTTTCTATGAAAAAATGTGACTAGTAAATATAACTGATCTACTTAATAAACTAGTAGAATAAAAGTAGTACAATAAAAAAAGTAAATATAACTCCTCTTAAAAAGAGATTAGATAATCTGTATATGAGAGGAAGTTTAGATGAAGAACAATTACATTTGTACTGTACATTCAATATGAAATTCCTGTATCTTTAAGAATATTATGTTTAAGATTATTTTCCTCTTGATTTCAAAGCAATCCTCTTGAGGCCATATATAAGAGTAAAATCCTCTAAGATTTAGAGAATTCCATTTCTGTTAAAATTATTTTTTTTTGGAAATATAAACTAGAAAGAATTGTCCAAATAAATCACGATACAGCGAACATGATAACTCGTTGAAGCAGAAGCTGCACGATGCGAGCTCTCGCGTGCGTTTTATTCCCCATCGAGACTCGAGGATTCTCTCGACGAGGAACAAGAGAACGGTATACGGATCACAGGGGCACGCTCCAAAATAAATTAATTAAAGCCGCACGGGGAAAATCCGCGCGGCTGATGCGCGGCAAGCCCCGCAGACACGTCCGCCTTGAACTTCAGCTCCTTAATTCGCACCTGCTGCTGTTGTCGCTGCCGCCGTGCGATTTCGCATATCGCGCCGCTCACACCAACGACGGGGCTGCCTTTCTTTGCGAGAGATATTGTGCGATGCCGCGCAGCCCCTCGTCTCCAGCGAGCGAACGACAAGACGAACGTCTCCCGGCCTCCGTCTTGAATTCGCAATGCGATAAACGTGGCGCGCACCGAGGGCAAGCGCACACCCCGGGATCCATTAATACGGCCGCAATGTGTTTCCGGAGTTTCTCATTAAAAGCGCCGCAACTTCGAGGGCCGTAAAAACGGAATAAAGGCGGAACAACGCCGTTACTCGCGGCTGGCGCGATACTCGTAAGCGCACTCCACAATATAGTCTCCGCAACGGCAGCGAGGGAAGCGGATACTTTTTACAATAATTTATCTTGCGCGATTGTTATTCCGTCATTCCTCGACAATACGAGGATATAAAAGTTAAAACGTGTCTGCCTCCTTCACCCCCCGTCGCGGCCGCGCTTCCAGACTCCTGGAGTCTTCCTTCGCGAAGCCACTCGCGACGCAATTGAAATATATGTCTTATGCTTCAGTGATGAAACTTGCGGAGCGCCATCTGCATCATTACAAATTATCATTTCGCGGCACGTGCTGGCGCGGAAAGAGGACGCCGTGAGGTTCCGCAAACAATGCGAGATGAAGACGAGCGCGACACGAAAAGCGGCGGCGGTGGCGACGGCGGCAGAGAGAGAGAGAGAGAGAGAGAAAGAGAGAGATGAATCGAGGAAGAAAATATGGGGGAGTCGGTAAGGAACGCGACGCGACGGGTACTCGTCGAGGGTGGATAAAGGGAGTAATTTTCACGAGTACACAAGCTGTAATTATTAATGAAACGGATGGCGCTGCAGCTCCCACGACTTTCCTCGTCTTCGGTTACCGCGACGCAAAGCCACTCGGGCACAACCGCGTCCCCCCTCGCCAAAACTCGCGCGAGCGCGCGTTTATAAGAAGTCATTTTTCATTTCACGTGTCCGTCGGAATAATGTACCACCGTGCTCGTTTCTCTCCATCGTGCTCGCTTAAGGGGCCGTCGCCGTTTCTTATTCTCTTTCTCGTCGTCGTCGTCGTCGTCGTCGTCGTCGTCACCGCCGCTTCCACCGCCGCCGTGTCGTTCTTGCGTTAATCCCCACGTCCAAGTATTCTTCTCGCACCGCCGTGACTCGGCGCTTCTACCGTAATTGTCTATTTTTTTTCCGAGGCGATCTTGTCACCGCGAGTAAACGCTCACCGCACAGAAAATTCCTCCAATTGGGATCCAGTTCGATCTCCTAAACTAGTTATGGATTCCGCTAAGAAGTGTAATGTTTCGAGTATGCAATTCTAACAAATAAACCTATCCAAAAATTACATTTCGATTTCTTTCTAATTTGGCACAAATATGGAAGTACAAAAAATATTTAAGTCATATTTTTTTATTTTAGCCCACTTTGAGTTTCACGGGCAGTTTATAACTTTATAACTTTATAGCTTTTTAATATTCTCACTCCTATCATCAACAAGTGCAACAAAAATGCATAAGAAATAAAATTGAATATAAGATATAGGTGTTTTTGGTTTGCTGTTTATGAATATGAAGTCAAATGTGTAAAATTATTTTTATAAATAATAAAATGTTTAAACATGTAAAAAGTTGAAAAAAAATAATTTATACAAATAATTTCTCGGTTTGGCCTAAATTCGAACCATTTTTAACTAATTTAGCACAGATTTGAAATATTTCGGTTAGAATCTCGGCTAAAGAAATTTAAAATAATTTGTGGCTCAGCTATACCGATTTTGTTAAAATTATTTAACTATATCTTGTATTCAATTTTATTTCTTATGCATTTTTGTTGCATTTTTAACAAAATCGGCATAGCTGAGACACGAACCATTCGATTCTAGATTTCTTTAACCGATATTCCAACCGAAATATTTAAAATCTGTGTTAAATTAGTCAAAAATGGTTTGAATCTCGGTCAAACCGAGAAATTATTTGCATAAATAATTTTTTTACTTATTGATGATAGGAGTGAAAATATTAAAAAGCTATAAATTTGCCATGAAACTCAAAGTGGATCAAAATGAAAAAATATGATCTAAATATTTTTTATACATCTATATTTTTGCCAAATTAGAAAGAAATCAGAATATATCTTTTGGGTAGGTTTACTTGTAAGTAGACAAATCCAAAGGACTACGGACAAAATCAGCTGACTTTGAATTAAAATGTGTAACGTAAGTTATACATAATCTTACGTTTTTCTAAATCGCTAAATAGTGCATTTTACGTTAAAATTTAATAAAACATGTTAACTTTCTAAGTAACTTTATTATTGTGTAAAATGCTTAAATTGTTTTAAAGTATTTCATTTTTTTATATTTTATTTTATTCAAACAGTAGGTAGTATGAAAATAAAATTCTCTGTCTGATACCATAAAAGTACACCGACATTACTGACTGCAAAAAATACGAGTTCTAGTATTTCTGTTTCAATTCTCGACAAAACCCATGTGTGGGACAAGAATAGGATTCCCAATTGGTACCTCAGTGGAATAACCAATTATGGGACAAATTCGGGCAATCAACATCTGTGTTGTATCTGGGAAAATCTTGGGAAATTTCTATGCGGGTCGTAATGCAAAATATCGGTGAGATCGCGTAATGAGGAAGCGCGAGCGTTTAATTGATCCTACAAATCACGCGACTCTCATAAATCGCGTACGCATTTTACCAGTGAGATAACATCCTCAACTTTTGCCACGTAAATTCTAGTTTGCCGGTTTCCAAAAGAGAGAAAGAGAGAGAGGGAGAAAGAGGGAGAGGGAGAAAGAGAGACAGCGAGTTAGGCGAACTAATTTCATCGAGCCAGAACATCCATTCTCGAAGTTTAAATTTGGCGAGACGACACTGGACACATTTTTGACAGAATGGAACTAATCCTGAAGAGAATACATGTCGTGTCGTAATTACAAGGATTACCAGCGAATCCTCGTCATTCCGCGAGATACATGAGAGAGCTCCGTTACAATCTCTTTCATCTTAGATTACTTGACAAGTATAGTATAGCCGCCTTGCAGGCCCATATCATCCACGATGAACCATTTTTCATTTCACGTCTCACGAAATAATGTCTCTCGGATGTCAGAGGACTGTGTATACCTCCGCCGAGTCTCTCTCTGCGCAGTTCATACACTCTTGCCGCTTCGCGTTCTTCACCGACGTGTGTGTTTTGATATTGGAATTTTAAATCGAATTTGGCGCGTTGAAAAAATGTCTAATTCCCGCTCGTTCCCTCTCTCTTCCTCGTTAATTTGCGCGTAACGATAATATTTAATACTTAGTATAAATGATGTCGCGTATAAATTGTATGACTAAACTAAACTCATGCTGAAATGTAATGCAGAGAATTTTGAGCAAAGGACCCCGCATAAAACCTATGGAAAATGGTTTTCGGTCAAATTGGCTGAAATTTCACTATGTTATAGTTTTCGCCATGCTGATAAAAAGTTATCATTGCACCAAGTCCCAAAAGTCAATATTTCCCAAGATATAAAGGGTCAAAGTAGTGAAATATGGTCATCCTCAGTAGTAAGACATATGTATAAGTGATACATTGATATTTATTCACGAAATAAATAAAAATCGATTTTTACATATATATATATGTAATAAATATTTAGTTCCGCAATATATATGTATATGTATATACAGGGTGGGGCAAAAGTATCGGACCGATGAAATATCTCGAAAAATATAAGTTTTACAAAAAACTATTTCAGATCTTAAAAATATTGCGGAACTAAATATTTATTACATATATATGTGTAAAAATCGATTTTTATTTATTTCGTGAATAAATATCAATGTATCACTTATACTTATAACATACGTTTTACTACTGCGAATGACCATATTTCACTACTTTGACCCTTTATATCTTGGGAAATATTGACTTTTGGGACTTGGTGCAATGATAACTTTTTATCAGCATGGCGAAAACTATAACATAGTGAAATTTCAGCCAATTTGACCAAAAACCATTTTCCATAGGTTTTATGCGGGGTCCTTTGATGCTTATGATGAAAACCTGTGATAGATGGGATATACATAAACTTAAGAAATACAAGGGGCGCTCACTCGAGAGCAGTATATATTTTTCTACGCGTACGGGCAAAACACCTGGCGGACAATAGATACATCGGAGCTTATTATCGGCGACAGAAGAGAATGTCGACATCGACAACGATCGGTCGCCGATAACGCTCCGATCCGAATTATCCCGATATGGATGATTAATCCCGAATGAGGCTTTGTCACTGCCCGGGTTAATTAGTAGGATCGCCTCTTTGACGTTGCATTGCACCTTGCGCGGCATGTCACGTCATTGCAACAATATTATTCCCCCGTAGGCTATCAAAATAAATAGGTTTACTCGCCGTGCTTTGAAATTCGGCATGTAACAACAGCAATTGCACCGGCGAAGGCGCGACTGACACTGCATGATGTATAATAAGTCGCGCTGATTTCCCATATGGTACATTAATAATGTAGAAATAATGAGCCAACGTATTCGTCATTCACAATTC